CTGGAGTGGGGTTGGGGATCGTGCTGAGGCATCCAGGTCTCTGGGCAGCTCTATCAGATAGCTCTGTGTTGGATGCTATTAAAATGTATATGTCCAGGGCGCCTGGGTGGCTCTGCCTTCAGCTCAGGTCATGATCCCGGGTCCTGAGATCGAGCCCTCCATCGGGCTCCCTGTTCAGTGGGGAGTCTGCTTCTCGCTCTCCCATTCCCCCTGCTTGTGTGTTTTCTCTCTCTCTCTCCTTGTCAGTTAAATAAATAAATAAGTAATCTTTAAAAAAATAAGTAAATAAAATTTACATGTCCTTCAGAAAGCCACAGTGGGAAATCTGGAGAAAATGTTCCAGATCAAGCTTGCCGAAGCTGAAGAAAAGTTTAAATATACCATACAGCTTCTGACAGAAGAGAACATTCATCTAAGGTATGAAAGATGCTGCTCAAAAAGATATGGCTGAGTTTTCTTTGGAAAGCGGGAGGGAGTTTGGGTGAGGAATAGAGGAAGATGAACCCAGGTGTTCCCTAATAAGGTCAAGGCATGGGCACTTCCCGGAGGGAGATACTGACTCAGAGCCTGGACAGAGAACTCACCTGCTAAGGTCACACAGTTCACAAGTGGTTTGGGGAATGTGTCTAGACTCCTCTCTCTTACCTACATCTTCATTTTAATGCAGAATGGCACATGAAATTTAGCTGAGGGTCTCTGAGTTTATTCAGTTCTGTGAATACATTTTATTTTGTTTTCCTTTATAACTCATTTATTTTTTTAATTTTTTGTCAGTGTTCCAAAATTCATTGTTTACGCACCACACCCAGTGCTCCATGAAATATGTGCCCTCAATACCCACCACCAGGTTCACCTCACCCCCCACCACCTCCTCCAAAACCCTCAGTTTGTCTCTCAGAGCCCACCATTTCTCATGGTTTGTCTCTTTTAAATCCCTAAAGTCCTCTGCCATCCACCGATTCATTCTTGGCTTCCCCTCCCAACTCCTGGCAATTACTGATCTTTCCACTGTCTCTGTAGTCTTGCCACTTCCAGAACGTCATAGAGTTGGAATCCATAGTAGATGTTTTGTAAATATTTGTTTAATGAATGAATGATTAGAAACTGTCATGACAACCCATGGGAGCTCTGAGTTTTTACCACGTCCCCTGAGAGTTTAGGGGTTTCCGTGTCGGTGGTTTACACTTAGATACGGCTGCATTTAGTTCCTATGAAAGTCAACTTTAGGTCAGAAATTACATTATTACCTGAAGATGCATTTTAAATCATTGAGATAAATTTTGGTCAATATTTTAGTAAAAGGAAGTTATTCATTGCATTGATTTGGTAGTATAGGAGAGTAAAGCTTTTCCCTTTTCCCCTTGTAGGTTGCTTGGCTGGCCTAATAGTTAATTGACATGAGACAGATTAACAGGAGAAAAAAAATTTTAATTTTGAATGTATAGGAGCTCATAAAAATATGAGATTCAAAGAAGTGACCGAAGTGGGCAGCTTTTATACCTTTTAGACAAAGAGACAATAAATTTATAAAGAATTGACAAGACAAAGCAGTGTGGATTCGGGGTAGTAAATTTAGTGAGGAAGTAAGAAGGATGTTCATACAGCCTCCTCAGCCCTAAATTCCCTATTTCTGGTGAGAAGGATGTCTCTTTACCTTCTGGTACAGGGAAGGTATTTTTCTTTCCTACTTTCAGGGGGACAAAGGAGGGTCAGAGTATCTTTCTTGTATTGGTGGTTGCTGAAGTAAATTTAATTCAAACTAATCAATATGCAAGGTGGAGTATTTTGGGATGGCATACTCTGTTTCCCCTCAGCAGAATATTCCTCATTTGGGAATTTGGTAACATAAATATCATATCTTACTAAATTCAAAAGCACTGCAAGTAATGTGTGCAACTGCCCCCAGTGAAGGAACAAAACCATATTTCCCTCCCCCCCTCCCATATATCCTCGATGCCCTTCTACCCTTTGACTCTGTAGTGATATGTCTTCTCTTTCTTTACAGGCAAAAAATAATTGCCAAGAATGAAGAAATTTATGAAGAACGATCTTGGAGGTCTACCTCTATTTATGAGAACGATTCTGACATTTTAGAAGATGACAGCAATGGAAAACAAGAATTATGAGCCCAAAAGTTGCTCTCCCATACAAAAGATGGCAGGAACACTGACTCTTTAGGCTTAGAGAACTCTGGTGGGGTCTTCTGGAAAAAAGTGTATTATGAGTTTAGTTCCTGGAATGCCTTGGTTCTACTTTTGTCTTTTCACAATCTGCTTTCTTCTAAGTGATTGGGAATGTTTGAATTCTCATCTCAATTATACAGATTTTCAAGACTCTTCATTGAAAGGTGATGTTCTCTATATCTGGATCTGCTCTTTCTCTGGGCAAGGTACTATTTTCTCTTCCATATTTCTGGATTTCATTATGAAAACACTGATCTGAAGAACTTCCTATTAAATATTGACTACATTTTGAAGTTTAGCTTTTGTCCCTTTGGGGCACTTTGCTAGCAAGAATGATAATTAATTGATTCAATTCCAAAAACCTTTTCTCTTACGTGTGTCTCCACTGCTCCATTTCTCAGTCATCTTTCCTGTAACTATGATTTGGGAAAAGTTTCTGATGATTGTTGCCACCTTCTCTAAATAATTATCAGAATTCAAATCCCCACAGGGCAGGCAACATAAATAAGAGAGGTGGACTGGACATAAGGAAAAATAATCACAAAAACAACCACAGTGGTAAATGGTAATTGGCAGGAGCCTAAATGTAGGGGATGGGATGGGGTGGTATGGGGGAGTGGGTGAACCCATCTTCTTGTGTGGCAGCACTGGAATGGGATCGATGTGGTCAGATATTCTGATTTTTAAAAAAAATAAAAGATATTGTGGTTTTTATGTGACACTGTCCCAATTTTTACATATGGGCAACGCATTTTTTAAGAAAATACAACGGTGTGAGCCAACATCAGGAGGCTAAAGTGAAACATACCTGTGATCTCAGTGTTTTCCACCTGTGAGATGCCAATGGCAAACAACAAAAAAACAAACAAACAAACCAATCTCTAGCCAACAATAAGTTAAATTCCATTTTGTTCTATTAAAAATATTATTGAAAAAATAGTATTGAAAAAATCTGTTTAAAAAGACTTTTTTATAAATTTAGAATTATTAAAATAAATTTAGAATAAACTAAATAAAGAAAAAATAGAAAAAAAAGAAAGCAGTGGAAAAAAAAAGAAAGCAATGAAATTATGCATGAATGGAGAAAGTATCATTTGCAAAAAAAAAAATGAGGTTTTGATGGATACAGAGATCTTAGAAGTGATAAGAGAAAGGTGTTAAAGTTTTTCACATTAAAAATAGCTTTTTCGGGACGCCTGGGTGGCTCAGTTGGTTGGACGACTGCCTTCGGCTCAGGTCATGATCCCGGGGTCCCGGGATCGAGTCCCACATCGGGCTCCCAGCTCCATGGGGAGTCTGCTTCTCCCTCTGACCTTCTCCTCGCTCATGCTCTCTCTCACTGTCTCTCTCTCAAATAAATAAATAAAATCTTTAAAAAAAAATAGCTTTTTCAAAGCTATAGTATTTTTAAAAACTGTAAAGTAGTGTAGAGGATGGCTTGGAAAGGGAGGGACTGGCAGTACAAAAAGTTAACATGCTGTTAACATCATTCCTTTCAAATACAGATTAAAGGTACTTACAAATAATAAGAACAAGGAAAATAACTCCTAGATTTTGTGAAATCCAAATCTAAACAGAGTTACAGTGTCTTTTGTCCCTGAAGCAGGGTCTCCCCGTAGCTCAGGGGGGCGCAGCTCTGGGGTTTCTGGGACTGCCCATCCCACACATCAGAACAGATCAGGCTGGATGTGGGAGCATTACACATGAGGGGTTTTTTAGCTAAGTCGGATCCCAAAAATCTCCCTCAGTGACCTCTGAGAGGAGGTCACTGGCAGCCCTCAGCATGCTGTCCGACAACAGAAATCCAGCTGAGTAAAGGTAAGAATCAAATCGGATCAAACTGCATTAGGTCACTTTTCTGAGGATTCTATCCTGCCAGTCAGCCCTGGTGAACCAGGTAATTCCATGCTGGCCACCTAAAGATGACATTCCCGGGGAACCCTAACTGCATTTCGGTTAGCTGTTAAGTCTGGGTTTGCTGACGTGGGGTTTAGCACAAGTGACTCTATTCGTGGGCTGTTGTTTCCTTGTAACAATAACTTTCAGGAGTGCGTGGCTGACTCAGATGGTAGAGCGCGTGACTCTCGCCCTTCGTGTTGTGTGTTCAAGCCCCAGGTCATGGGATGGGGGGGTTTCGGGCGGGGGTGGAGGGGATAGAGTTACTTAGGAAAATAAGAACATTGTTAACAGTACCTTTTAACAATTGTACCTCACATTCTACTCTGTAGAAGCATATCCAGTTAGCAGGAATGTAAATCTGACAAATTCTCACAAGAACCAGGAATGAGGAATCAGCCGCTCTTTCACAGAAAGGAGGATTACAGTTTTCTTGACTTTGTCTCCCAGGACTTGAACAACATTCACTTATTCTGAGGCCTAGAGTGAGAAAGTGCTTTCCTCATTCCCCACCTTCTTATGCCTTCTAAGATCTCTGCACTGCCCTTAACCCTGTGCTCCAGATTGAACCTTTGGAATGACATCGTTACCTTCTTTTTTTAAATGCTTCACTGCAGGGAATCAAATGATTCCAGGCCGAAAGCAGATGAGCGATGTGCAAAGACGGTTCATTCTGCCACGGTTTTTGAACCTAAAGTTACGATGTTACATTTCTTTTAAACGTTCTATATTTTCTTATTACTCTAGGCTTTCTAAAAACTTTTTCTTCAAATCAAAAATAAAATTAAAATCATACCTACGACGATAAATCTCTAGCTATTACTGCAAAGCCAGAGAGTTAGGCTTAAATTTGAATGAGAATTAGGTTGTACTGAATCCCATTCTCTCCCCTTCCCGCCATCCAAAAGAAAGGAAAAAAAAGAAAAGCATAGCAGCACTTTAATCAAAATTAAATTAAGCATAGTGTTATGCAGTTAAAGTATCAGTCACAAGGGAAAATGAGTTTTTTCCTCAGTGTGAAGGTCAGTTGTGGCATTTGTTTGCCCATGTTTCTCCTGTCATCCTTATTGCTCACTTCAAAATTCACTTCAGTAAGGATGGTGAGAATATCTTCTCCCCTGAAAAACAACACCACTGTGACCATCTGTGGGGAAACAACACCAGCTGTCCTTAGGGACAGGCCCCTTCCCTCAAAACATCAGGCATTTGAAATCCTAAGTTGCTAAACTAAGACATATCAAAGCCTTCCAGGTGAGTAGATTCGGAGCTTAATAACTTAACTTTGGTTTACTCAAGATCTCGAATGATCATCAGAAACTTCAGGGTCAACATCAGATTTGGGCTCTTTCCCTCCTAACCTGTTTGTACCTTACTCTTCTACGTACAATGTCACTTACCCCGTAATGACCTCAGTGCCCCCCCCACAAAACATCAGCACCAGCAGAGTCTTGATGATTAAAATCAACCTACATTAATTTCCTGAACTCGATTCAGTTAAAAAAAATAAGTCCTTGGGCGCCTGGGTGGCTCAGTGGGTTAAGCCGCTGCCTTCGGCTCAGGTCATGATCTCAGGGTCCTGGGATCGAGCCCCGCATCGGGCTCTCTGCTCAGCAGGAAGCCTGCTTCCCCCTCTCTCTCTCTCTGCCTGCCTCTCCGTCTACTTATGATCTCTCTCTGTCAAATAAATAAATAAAATCTTTAAAAAAAAAATAAATAAGTCCTTACCTGATGTTATATCTCATACAACTTGTGTGACCGTTGATCACATCCGGCAAGGGAAACCCAGTGTCTCCTGCAGCTGCTCCCCCCTTCCTCGCCAGCCTCCCCTAGCAGGTGAGCTGGGCAACCTGTTCCTCTACCTCTGTAGGATTCAAGGTCTAACTTACAAACGGAAAAGATGGTATTGATGTTATGGTTCAGTTCCTGATCGGCCGTGGGAAGTTCTCATTCTTCATACCCTTACAGCACGAAAAGCTACAGAGCTAGAAGAGGTCTTGCTATTCACCCGTCGGTCATGTGTGCCTTTGGGTGAACTATGACTACAAAACCATCATTTAACTAAAGGAAGCAGCATAGGGTATAATAAGTGAGGGAAGGATATTTTCCTCACATTTTGTGGCTTCACATCAGGCCAAATTAGTGGGAAAATAAAGGGTTTCTACTCTTTGGTACTCATCTCCCACAACACATCAAGAGGACTGATTAGCTATGATAGAACTTTAAGAGCTGGAGGACGTTAAACACTGAAATGGGTTATTACCTCGCTGGAAGACTTCCGAAACTAGTTGAGTTGGCTCAGTCGTGTTTCTGCCTAAAAACAGAGCTGGACTGACTTTACCATCATTCCCTACTTTAGGACACCCCAACTGTCCTTTCGGGCACTAAATAAAAGAAACTGTGCAGTAAGTGTCTCTGATTTTTCCAGCTATGAATATAAAGATGTTAACATTTGCAACTTCCCAACTGAGCTGGGAAGTACAGCTGTGTCATCAATAACTAGAAATTTAGAAAAAATGAAGGACAGAGTAGGCAAAAATTACCTAGGACATCTTTTTCTCAGGCTCTGGCAAAGCGTCTGGATATACCATGTTCCCTCCATGGGGTTTCGGTAGGAAACACAATTATTCACAGTGGCCATCCCCAGCAGAAAGTCAGCATCGTCTGGGATATATCTCTTCTGACAGGAGTCCAATTCATAACAGGCTTCATTCTGTTCAGAGTCGGTCTCAACAGCTATCCCTTTCTGGTAGTTATCCCCTTGACAAGCCTGGATAAAAAAGATTTTGGGCTTGCCTGCAAGGGAAGGGCACTTAGAACCAGTGAAGTAAGAGGTCAACTCATAGATGGGGACTTCCTGTCCATCACAGCCATAGATGATGCCCTTGTCTCCATGGGAGAGGATGCAGCAGATGAAGCAGTCCCTGGTAGTGTGGTCCATGCTTTGGTAGGATTTGAGAACGTCACAGATTTTCTTAGCTGTAGAGTCTCTGAAAGGCACAATCTCAAAATGAAGCTCACTAAAGGTCTGACACAAAGCATCTGAAAAGTGAAATGAGACAAGTCATATTACACAACAATAAGTCTCAAACCACAGTCCAGAGCTAGAGAGAATATTGATCAGATTAAGAATCTGAATCAGAGCTAAAGTACAAGACCTTTTATAACACTGGCTGATATCCATAGTTTTCTAATATTGATTTTGCCCCAGCTGAAAACACTTCCAGTCCTGAGGCAAATGAGAAAGGGGAGAATGCTACTGTTGGCCTTCTTTCTTTCCTCAACTGGTCTATAAGATGGGTGAGCTATTATTTAGGCTTACTATTAAGCCAATCTAAATAGTAATACTACTGACATAAATCAGAATAAAAAGCAAAAAAAAAATTAAGAAAAGATTCATACTTGACCTTGAACTCTCTCAAAATTGTGTAACAAAATAAAAAATATGAGGGGCGCCTGAGTGGCTCAGTCAGTTGAGCGTCTGACTCTTGCTTTCAGCTCAGGTCCTGATCTCAGGGTCATGAGATTGAGCCCCACGTCAGGATCCACATTCAGTACAGAGTCCGCTTGTCCATCTCCCTCTTCTCCCCCCGCCCACTTGCACTTGCTCTCTCAAATAAATCTATCTTTAAAAAAAATACAAGATGTGAATGTTCAAAAAAATCAAGTACAACAAAAAAGGCCTATTACAAAAAAGCTATCCCTTCTCTAACTCTCCCTATGACCCCATCACATTTTATGAAGGCAACCACTTTCAACTTTTAACAAATATTTTTCGGTATTTACCTCCATTCTGTAATGAATTTGAGCACTTTGCTATTGATGTTTTTATATAGTTATTTACAACTTTTAGTTGAATCAATAGTACTATGTAAACATAATATTCTTTTATTATGTTTCCTTTCTTGTTAAATTTTTTGTCTTTCCTGGAATTAGTAAGTGCATTATTTTTTCATTGCTTTGTTTTCATATGCATAACCTTATTTTTTGTTCAGGTTCTCTAAGCTCTAGTCAAAGTCTTTCAACATTTTCAGGGTGCCTGATTTTAACTAAAAATTGTATATATTTAAGGTGTACAGCTGATTACACAGTGAAGTGATTACCACGGTCAAGCTAATAACATATCTCCTCACGTACTTAATTACCTATTGTGTGTGTGTATGTGGGACATATATAAGAGCACCTGAAATACACTCTCTTAGCATATTTCTAGTATCCAATACAGTATTATTAACTATAGTCATTATAGCGTACATTAGATCTCTAGATTGATTCATCCTCCATATCTGCAACGTTCACCTACCCTTTGACCAAAAGACCAGAAATGCAATAAACTATTTTTTTAATAAACATTTTTTCATAGTGGGGCACTTGGGTGGCTCAGTCAGTTAAATATCCAACTTGATTTCAGCTCAGGTCATGATGCCAAGGTTGTGACCTGGAGCCCCACACTGGGCTCCACACTGGATGTGGAGCCTGCTTAGGAGTTTCTCTGTTCCTGTCTCTCTGCCCCTCCCCCATTTGTTCATATTCTCTAAAAATAATAATAAGTAACCTGTTTTGATAGTAAACGAATGGAAATCAAAGGCGTGAAGTCTCTTCTTCAAGACCAAAGTATATGACTATGAGTGACATCGTCAATGGGCTTAAGCTCTGTGGCATCTGAAATCTTAGATCTGCCTGAATAAACTGTTAAGAGAACATCAGCAGAGTCTTGATGATTAAAGTCAACCTACATTAATTTTCTGAACTTTATTCGGTTAAAAAAAAAGTCATTACCTGATGTTATAACTCATAAAGACCATTTACAAAAATATATTGGTTGGGTTGGGTTCTTTCTTTCACTTTTAGGAGTAGCCATTTCTATGTTCACATGCGAAAAATTACTTTTTCATCTAATTTTTAAGTTCTCCTAAGTTTTCATTTAACTTGTAAGTTCTTGTAAGTTCTCTTATAAGTCGCTCCTCCTAAAGAGGCTGAGCAAAAGAATTTCTGACTAGTTTAATATTAGAAAGTGCTATTTCTGTCAAAGACTCGCAATTTCATCTCCCCAACTTTTATAAATGCAACTTCTGTATGTGGTCTTGATCCCAAGGCAATGTTTCACCTAATGTTTCACCTAATTCTACAGAAGCACTATTCATTAAATTGAATTAAAAACAAAGCTTAGGGACGCCTGGGTGGCTCAGTGGGTTAAGCCGCTGCCTTCGGTTCAGGTCATGATCCCAGGGTCCTAGGATCGAGCCCCACATCGGGCTCTCTGCTCAGCAGGGAGCCTGCTTCTTCCTCTCCCTCTGCCTGCCTCTCTGCCTACTTGTGATCTCTGGCTATCAAATAAATAAATAAAATCTTTAAAAAATAAAAATAAAAGCAAAACTTATTGTTGTAGCTTTTTATCATAAGTCTTTTCCTAAGATTTGATATTTTATCTCATATACATTACTTTGATGAAAAAATTAACTTAAAAAATAGGAGCAGCAAATTAGCAAATATATAAGAATGTTCTTCACTTCCACAAGGAAATATGGTTACATCTATTTTTTTTTTTTCTGAAACATGAGGCCCTGTTGGTAGAATTTTTGTTCTCCCCTTTTGGTACAAAAAACTTAGGTATTAGAAATATTTCACTTCTTTTCAGGGCTCTACTGTACCTGCATCCAAGTCTGTTCCATTCCTATCCTTAATGCTGTGAAGTTTGGGCACTTGCTTCCGTGCTATGCTAAAGTCATAATTGTTAAAGATCAAACAATATCCTCGAGGTTTGCTTTCCATTTGGTAAACTTTTTCCGATGTCTGAAAAACAAAAATCAACCCAGGAGCTGACTCTGAGGGTCAAACACTTGAGATGTGAACAATCAACTTCCTAGGAAACAGTCAAGCTGTCCCCTTAGCCAAACTGGGATGCAAGGGCACTTCAGCAGGCCTCCCCCAACTTGACGTCGTTTCTTTGGTAAACTAGATTCCACCCGTTCCCTTGATACAGGATCCCCAGACTTCGGCCTCACAGTTAGTGTGTAAAATCTGGGTCCCAATACTTGTGCCTCTTGAACTCTTGGCACGTGTATTAATACTGTTATCATCATAACATACTTTCATGACTTGTTCTTGTTTCTGCTCAAGGCAGATAACATTTACAGCAGGAGCTAGAATTTATTAATCTGTGAGTGCTCAATCAGGAATTGCTGAATGATGAATGAATGTATTCATGCTGTCTTTGGGCTGCCTGTCTGTCACCTTGTGATTCCGTTGGCCATCTAGTCAACTCATCTAGATATCTGGGCTAACAGCTGAGGGTCTGCCCTTCACACATGACATAGCACGGTCCCAGGACTTTGAGAGCCGATGACTTAATCTGGCTCTCAGGACCACAGTGACTGGAGGAGAGAGATGGCCTCGTCAGGCGCGGCTGGCTCTGTTGCAGGTTACAGTATCCAGACTCTAGTACCTGACAGAGTCAGTCAGAGATGGCCCCGTGTCCTGATTTTCCCAGGGCTGTTTCAGTGCTGAGATACTCAGCATCTATTGGGAAATCCATGCAGCTCCTCAAGGTAGAGACAAGGGCTCCACACTAAGGCCTCAGATTCATAGCTCTGCTACATCATAACCTTAAAACCCTGTGCAGGTTACCTAATCTCTCTGCTACTCCATACAGTTAGCTGCTCAGTGGGGACGACATTCGGTAGGGTCCTTTGTTACTTGCAAAGAGCCACGTGACTTTGGCAAATCCTTAGTTTTCAGACCTAGAAAGGTCTGGTAATCTGCTCAGGAGCCCACCTGTAACTTGTCTCTCTCAGCTTAATTTCAAGTCTCCCCCTGGACTGAGAACATTCAGGGTTTCCTCTGCTTCCCACTACAGAGAAGAGTGGATAGGCTAATGAATCAGAATGTGGTTGGTCAATCTTTGAAGGTTAATAAATCAAAGTGATTGCCTAGAAAGGCAATTCTTGCACGGCTCATCGAGATGAGAACAAAGAGACCACTAGATCAGGAGCCTTTGCTGCTTACTCCTAAATCAGCATGAAGAAACAGTTTCAAAATGTCAGCCTAAAAGAAAAGGCTTTGCTTTTCCCATGCCTGCTAGACTTTTCTCCCAAAGTCTTCTCCCACTTCCGCTGAGGTGGCTGCTGAAAAGAGGCTTCTTGCTTTCTCGGCCCTCCAATTATTCCAATGCCTTTGTCTTTGGCTTTAAAATAAAATTTTAGGGGTGCCTGGGTGGTGCCATAGGTTAAGCTCTGACTCCTGATTTGTGCTAAGGTCATGGGATTGAGCCCCACGTGGAGCCTCACGTCGGCCTCTGTATTCGGTGAGGAGTCTGCCTGAGATTCTCTCTCTCCCTCTCCTTCTGCCCCTCCCCTACTCACACGCTCTCTCTCTCATATGTAAATAAATCTTTAAAAAATAAAATGTTAACATTTTTTACTTCTGAAACTTAAAAAGTCACATTTTAAATTTGTCCATTTCCGAACATTTTCTATAGTTCTCGAAATTTCCAGTAAGCTTCTGCCCCTTACTAGTTTATCTGGATGCTTAAAAGCTGAGGAATGCAAGAACCAGAATCTGCAATGCAAAGAGAAAAAGGAGTCCGAACTTCCACACACCTCTGATTCACAGTTCTGTTCTCTTGGAGAGTCCGACATTGGCGGTACCCTCAGGGATTTCTCCCCTACAAGCAACTGAGACATATCTGGAATGAAACATAGCAGAGAAGGGATTTGGGTAAAGAAACACAGAGCCCCCAGGATATCATAAGGTCCCTTTTAAAATGAAAACTCACAGACTACCTTGAACATAATATCCTTGCAGTCCACAGAAAAAAAAAAAATCTTTTGACTGGCAAACTCCTCACCTATTTTAAACTTGCCAGCCCAGGGCTGCAACGTTTAGGTCTCTTGACAACAGGTGTATATATCTTTCAATGTGTAAAGAAGGTAACAACAAGAAAGCACTGAGCCATCCTGATTTTAGGACAGCAAGGCCATTAAGACGTGGATGTGTGAGAAGGTTGTGAGAAGAGGAGGCAATAGAGTATCAGTTAGTAAATGAACTGAATAAGTCTTAAATACATATTATGCATATTACCATTTGAAATTTCATCTAGACTTCTTTGAGGGATCACTGTTTGCTCTGAATTAAAAAAGAAACATAATCTGATTAGAAACTATCACGACATACAGGGATTTGTCAATTTAAGAATACATTTTGCTAACTCACAGCTGTCAAGTTATTTCTACCTTGGCTTAATTCTTCGTAATCTGTGATTTTCTTCAGCAGGCTCCTGTTTATTTGGTCACAGATTCTTTTCAGGGTGTCCAAATTTCTTTCCCCGAGGATGACCCTCTTCTCCATCTCTATGAAAATATCAAACAAGTTCTAGAAGGAAGAGAAATAAAGAAATAAAGATTGAGCCACACTGGCTTTTCGATGAGATTTTCTTTCTTTCTTTTTTTTTTTTTTAAGTCCGCTTTCTCCTAACAGTGGGCGCACCCTCCCTTCCGAAGCTGACCCTCCTGACAGGCCATCCTGGTCCTCTAAAGCCAATAGAGCACTAGAGGAGCAATTCTGTCTTTTCTGGCCCAGGAAGGCAGAAATGAGAAGGTAGAGGAAAAGTGACATCCGTTGTCACCCAGACCCCAGACCCCAAGCCCTGTGCTGCAAGCCCCCCGGGGACACCTTTAAGTGACGTCTGGGAAACAGCCGGGGGTGCACGGCTGAGACACAGTAGCCTCCAGGGACCACGTCTCTCCAGACCTGATGCATCTCCAGCCCGGCGTCCTCGCACGCACGCGCGTCCGCACGCACGCACGCACGCACGCGCACGCACAGAGTTCCAGGCCCCAGGTGATCTCAGAGCCTGCAGAAGTGGGGAGAGGTGTCCAGCTCACCACCATCTCGCCCGCTTTGGGCGGGGGGGGGGGGTCCCGCAGTGGGCTGTGCCTCCACCACCAGTCTTCCCTAGCTACTGACTCCGCCGTGCGCCTCACCATTAATGTGACCAGCACTTCACGGTGTACGAAGGAATCATATCTGCAGCACAGCAGTCCGACCACTCTTTTCTTCTCCCCCCCCCCCCCCCGCCCCCGCGCTGAAAAATGAGGGTCCAGGTTGCTTTTGCTGGAGGAGCCCTCTCCGCAGTCGCAGCGGTCCCCACCGACTGACTCAGCCTCAGGACCAAATCTGGGTGAAACACCAGGTCTTACCAAATCATCGTGCAGTTTACATCTAGAGATCTCCTGGCTCAAAAGAAACTTAAAGGACTTCAATTCCAATTTGCTTACATCTTCTGAAATCTGAAAAAGCATGACCCTGTGGTGGGAAATGGAGACGCTTTAGAAATGGTTTCCCAAATAATTTCCCATTTGATAAAAGGAGTGGCAGTGGACTTGATTCTGGTCCCCTCCCCTTGAGATAGACAGCTAATGACATAATTTGTGAGTTGAATCCTTGGAGAGAGGCTGCTGCGGTGCGGTGACAGGCTACTGATTCATGCCCCGCTACTCCACCCTTAACAGAATTAAGGTCCACTATGACGTTAATTTCATTTCAGTTAAGTGAATTGTGTTTTTCCTTGGTCTTTCACTATAAAATCAAGAGCTTGTTGCAGTAGGGAAAGAAAAAAAAAAAACTTTTTGTTTTGGAAATTATGCTTTTCAAAATGTAAACTAGATCATCACTTCCTGTGGGTTTTTTTTTTTTAAGATTGATTTATTTATTTATTTGAAAGAAAGAGTGTGTGTCTATGCACAAGCAGAGGGAGCAGCAGGCAGAGGGAGAGGGAGAAGCAGGCCCCCCCCCTGAGCAGGAGGTCCAAGGAGAGGGTTGGATCGCAGGACCCCGGGGTTCATGACCTGAGCTAAAGGCAGACACTTAACTGAGATGCCTTGGTCTCCTGGATCCTCACTTCCTTAATTACAACTTATCAGTGCTCTCCTGGCCATCAACTTTAGTATGAAGGCCCAACACCTGGTTCTAGAATACAGACCGTTGTGCACTGAGCCCAGCCCACCTCCTCAGCTTCTCTAGCCACTCCTCACCACCGGCCCCCATCTCCTCTCCAAACACACCCAGCTGCCCTGCCCCGACCCCTTTATGCTGTGGTCCTCACAACCCCATCCCCTTGTCCATCTGCAGACACAAACTCACCCACTAACAGCTCAAGTACCTCTGTAAACTTGTAGGTAATAAATACACCATTGGGACATATTAAGAATAATATGAATAAGTTTATCCAAAGTGCTTAAACCAACCTTTGGCAACACACTGACTGTTCAATATACAACAGGCATTATTATTTCTTAATCCATATTAGGTTCTTGGGATATGTCTGTAGAAGGAACAAAGGAATGTTTAATAAGTCAGCAAAACTTCCACTATTGTGGTGTTAAGGAAAATAACACAAAAACATGCTAACTCCAAAGTCAATTAGAATATTAAAATTCTGAAAATAAAAATAGTATAGAAACAGAAGTTTCTCAGTATTATCATCTGCTTCATCCTTCCTCTCATGGAATCTCTACCCTAGAAGTATTTCTCCAAAGTTTTCTCAGTTTGGCCAAGATTGGGTCCAGCCAAAAGTTACCCGCCCTTTTAACTTTATTACAAGGTATTTTGTCCTATCACTTTCCTTATTACTCGAACCTACTGGCTTTTTTGTACCATTACTGTCTAGAAATAAATCTGGGTAGTTTATAAGATACTGACTTTATAGGTAGCAATTATAATTTGAAAATAAACATGTCTAGTGCTTTCTAGTAAATTCAAAGGGTCCACTCTAGCATACTTTTTATTTCCTGGCTAATACCCAACAATGATGAATAATGGTAGATTGTACTTGTGCTGACCCTTTTGTTTCCAGGCTAATGTGTTACATATTTAACAGACGGGGCCACCTGGGTGGTTCAATCAGTTAAGCCTCTGCCTTCAGCTCTGGTCATGATCCCAGGGTCCTGGGATTGAGTCCTACATCGGGCTCCTTGCTCAGCAGAAAGCCTATTTCTCCCTCTGCCTGCCATTCTCCCTGCTTGTACCCCCCCACCCCGGACAAATAAATAAATAAAATCTTTTTTTAAAAAAATGATTTAACAGACAGACCCTCCCTTCTTATGGACTCAGCCTTCCAACAGAGAGGTACAGGTCATTGTCTGGCATTGACAATTTGCTTTAGCCTTGCTTACAGGACAGAAGGAGTGCAACCTTCAGAAGACCAAGATGGTGGACACAAGATGAGACCCTCCGGCTTTCCTAGTTCTAGAGTTGTTGTTTGTTAGGATTAATTACTGTCTTAATGAAAAGAATCATTAGGAATGTGTCATAATTGCATTAAAACAAAGTTATCCAATATTGAATAATATCTTCCCCGACTCTCCTCCCCCATTCATGTCCACCCTGGATGGGCGAATATGCCTTTATTTGGGAAAAGGATTTTTGATGAGATAATCTTGTTAAGATGAGGTCACGCTAGACCAGGGCTGGCCCTAATCCAATGACTGGTAGCTTTCAAAGAAGAGGAAACTTGGACGAACAGGCACAAAGAAGAGACTGGAGTGATGTATCTAAAAGCTAAGGAAGACCAGGGATTGCTGGCAAGCCCCCAAAGCGAGGGGAGGAAGGAACAAGAAACAGACTCTCCCTCAGAGTTCCAGAGGAACCAGCCCTGTTGACACCTTCATTTCGAACATCTAGCCCGCAGAACTGTGAGAGAATGAAGGTCTCCGCTGCGGTAAGCCACCCAGTTTGTCGGACGCTATCACAGAAGCCTTAGGAAACTCCTACACCCAGCAGATCTCTTTTGTCACTTAAAATGCTTGAGCTTCAAGCAGAGAAATGTACGGTAAGGAACATGCTGGAATCTCCGGTCTCTGACACTGAGGACCAGGGCATAAATAGGCCGGGCAGGTGGGGTACAGTGGCCTCCAGCCCTGGCTGTGAGGACTCACCGTCACACATGCCATCATTACTGGCCAGAGAGACGAGGCCGTGAAATGGGCCACAGCTAAGACTTGAGGAGAAGCTTTCAGAAGGGAAGCTACAAACAACGTTGAGGAGTGTCTGGCAACAGGGCACGTTGGAAGACAGAAGCTGGTGCTGTGTGCCTGTTTTTAAAGTCTGTTACCTCTATAATCAGTCCTCCCTCACAACCCTAGTGCTGGTCTCTCTGCCCGTGTTTTAACAAAATCACCTTTTTGCACCAAAAACCAAAAAAACCTGAAGGTGTAACAGAACATGGCTTGTTATCAGCCCTGGGGACCCGCAGTCCCACAGGGCGGGAGGGGCCCAGCTTCAAGGCGGGCGGCAGGACACACGACTGAGGTCGCCACCGTTCTCCTGGCAGCCACTGGACACACGGGGGCTTGGCGGTCTTGGTGGGGTCCCGCCTGGGCGGCCCGGAACGACGGGCAGCACACACCCCTCACTGGAGAACTTTGTGATGCAAGTGTTTCAGGATGGAATAAAAAAGTCCAGAACCCCACTGAGAATTTCCACAGTTATCCGCGAGCAGGTGGGAGGGGGATTTCGGAGAAGCAGCAGTGGACAAAGCAATGACCTGATGTGGACATCAGCAGAGCAGAGGCAAACAGAAGCAGACAGAACGGAGGGAGAGAATGTTCAGCAGACGGCTGTTTTCATGTCAGCAACCTTACAGGCTGTGTTTCACTTTGGAAACAAAATTTCCTGCAAGAAAAACCATAAAGTAAAATTTACGGTTTAACTTTTTTTTCTGATTTGTATACAAGATCTCTAAATTTCTTAATCTGGCCCTGGTGGGACATCTTCGAGGCACTTCCAAGGTCCTATGACACAGACACCCGCCATCGGCCCCACCCGCAAAGATGTGTCCTTCGCACCCGCGCCTCCCAGGGCCTGAACTGTGGAGGCGGCCCCCACCTGTAAGCAGAGATCTGGGCTCTGCCTGGGATCCGAAGCTCTTGCTCCATCTCCTGCTTGCTGGTGTCCAGGTAGGTGACCAGCAGGTCCAGTCTGTTGATCCGAAAAAGCAGCTCCTTCAAGAAGGACAGGTTGTTTTCCTCCAACAGTCTCTTTTCCTGGAGTCTCTGGAATAACATCAGGGGATCCTTGATGGGCTCCTGCTTCTTCTGGGGGATGTAGTCCATGCTCAGGAATTTGAGGGAGGCCAGCTCGTCACTGTCCAGCTGTTCTCCAATATTATAGAGGCATTTACTAAAATTCATGTTGGCCAAGTGTCAGGAGAGGGTTGTGGGAGCCTGGGTCAAAATACAATCGATATTACGTTCAGACGAGGAAGAGAAGTACCGCTCACCGGTGTGTTTCTTCATGAAGTGTTATTATCTCTGCTCTTCACCAGACATTTTACTGAGGACACCGGGAAGACAAAAACAAACAGCACACGTTTCTGCTCTCAACTAGCTCACTATTTGGGCAGGTAGATACACAAATTAGCCAACGGTCAGAGAGTTGTGACCAGGGCACTGAAGGAATAGAGAGGAAGGAACCCTAACTCAACCAGGGAGAAGGGTTTCCTGGAAGGAAGGCACCTTTGGGAAGGCGTGGGAATTTCCTGCAATTCTTGCAGGAAATAATTTATGCAGAAGAGGGAGGCGAGAATGTTCAAGTCAATTCAGGCAAGTACGAGGAGGAGCTCAGTAAAGTAACCACGAAGGGTCCAGGATGGGGAGTGGTGGGAGAAGGGATGAAGCCGTGGCCAGGAACCATTTACAAAGGGCCTCGTACTCTGGGGGCAAGGGCTCAGGCTTTGTCCTAGAGGTGATGGGGAACTAAGGACTGTAATGTCATCCAGTTTGGGACTCTTTTTTTTTTTTTTAAGATTTTATTTATTTATTTGACAGGGACAGCAACAGAGGGAACACAAGCACGGGGGAGCTGGAGAGGGAGAAGCAGACTCCCCGCTGAGTGGGGAGCCCGACACTGGGATTACCACCCTCATGGAAGGCAGATGCTTAGTGACTGAGCCACCCAGGCACCCCATGAGATTAACATTTCAAGTGTGGAAGATGGGGGCTCCTGGGTGGCTCAGTCAGTTAAGCATCTGCCATTGGCTCAGGTCATGATCCCAAGGGTTCTGGCTGGGCTTCCTGCTCAGTGGGGAGCCCGCTTCTCCCTCTGCCCCTCCCCCATGCATGCACTCTCTCATATTCTCTCTTTCTCAAATAATTTTTTTTTTTAAGTGTGGGGGATAGATTGGAAGGGCAGGAGGCTAGGGAAGTGATGGGGTCTGACTGAAACCATGGTGCCAGGAAGACAGGATGCAGTGCCGTCCCCCAAAGGCCTCGGGATCAGCATTCACAGCAGATCAAGGCCCCACGACTGGAAGTGAAACCAAGTCAATTTTGTCAGCCTTCCAATTCAAACTGTCTCTGAATCAGATGACATAATACCTTCACACACATGTTTGGGCAGGTATAAAAGGAGAGTGCAGGGCTTCTGGAAATCCCGGACACCCTTCACGCAAACGGCCCAGGATCTGGGGTTCCTCCTCCCGTGAGCCCCCTGAGTCACACCCAACCCACCCTGCTCTGATGGGCCCATGTTTGTGATAAAACAAGCCCCTGACGCAGGGTTTGTACTGGATTCTTCATAGGAACAGGCGTGGGACCCAGCTCCCTAAGGCCAGTGCCGTATCACGGTCAAAGCCAGGAAGCTTGCCGGCAGCTGACTGTCAGGAAGGGGCGGGAGTGCAACGGTTCAGAGTAGGGAGTATTAGGGTCTGACAAAACTTAGATCAGGGGACGCCTGGGTGGCTCAGTTGGTTAAGCAGCTGCCTTCGGCTCAGGTCATGATCCCAGCGTCCTGGGATCGAGTCCCACATCGGGCTCCTTGCCCATCAGGGAGCGCCTCTGCCTGCCATTCTGTCTGCCTGTGCTTGCTCTCTCTCCCTCTCTCTCTCTGACAAATAAATAAATAAAATCTTTAAAAAAAAAAAAAAAAAACTTAGATCAGAACCCCTCTGGGGCACGGGCCCCAGGCCTGGGCTGCTCAGGTCCTCTGAGGGTTAGGGGCTCCCTCTGTAAAACGGGGATCACAACACCCACCTCCTAGGTGTTTGACTAAAGTAAGTCCTATAAGGCATGTACAGGGATGACTAAAATTGAATGAACAAATGAGGGTTAACCCGAAAGAAGGAAACAGGTCCTGGCTGTGGGGACCCAACAGGAACTGGGCACCTGAGAACTTCCCTCACCCTCCTGGCTTCCCACTTCCCCAGTGGGACACTCATGGGGAAGCAGTGTTTTTCCAAACTCTGCAAAGTTGAAGAACACTTGGTTGACGCCATACTTTAGGAGGTGGTCCCAGAGGGCGGCAGTTTGAGAACCTCGAATTAGAAAACCTTTAACTTCCTGTCCAGTCCCACCATTTCCTGGATCCCACAGACTCTGTGCTCCTGGGCGCTTTCCTTAACCTCAAATGACCTTAACCTGTTTGTACTTCTTTCCTCCCAGAAGCAAAGTGGCTAGGTTTGGGGTTCTTAAGCTCCCTGCACTGGCTAACATTCTTGGATGAAAACACAAATCCTGATTCTATTACTTGACATAATGAGCAAGTGAACCAGGATCCATGTATTTTCTATATCTGACGTTAAGATATAAGTATTTTGGGGGCACCTGGGTGGTTTAGTGGGTTAAGGGTTCAACTCTTGATTTCAGCTTAGGTCATGATCTCAGGGTCATGAAATAGAGCCCTGAATAGGACTCTGCACTGGGCAGGGAGCCTACTTAAGATTCTCTCCCTCCCTCTCCCTCTGCTTCTCCCAACTCCCACCATCCCCTGTGTACACGGTGCGCTCTCTCTCTCTCTCTCAAAATAAATAATTTAATTAAGTAAAACAGAAACATTTTAATTTGCCCCATAAGGTTACGTTTTAATATTTTTATAAAGTGCTTTGAGAAACTTCGAAATTTTTAGTTTTTCTTTTTTTTTCTTTTTTTTTTTAGTTTTTCTTTTAAGAACACCTTCCCCCTCCCTCACCCACTCTGATTATGGAAGTAGTGTTTTTTGTGTGCGTGAAAATTGAAAATATAGTAAATCATAAAATGGTCACAGTTATTATCATACACACACACACACACACACACAAAATAGCACACATCACATATACATTTATATAAAAATCAGAATCAGGCTGCATATCCAGGTATATACAACTATTTTTTTCCCCACTTAATATTTAGAATGAACATTTACCCCACCATTAAATATTCTTCTTTGGAATATTTTTCATGTTTCTTTTTTTTAAGATTTTATTTATTCATTTGAGAGAGAGAATGAGAGAGGGAGAGAGAGAGAGAGCATGAGAGGTGCGAGGGTCAGAGGGAGAAGCAGACCCCCTGCTGAGCAGGGAGCCTGGGACTCCAGGATCATGACCTGAGCGGAAGGCAGTCACTCAACCAACTGAACCACCCAGAGACCCCTATTTTTAATGTTTCTTGATCTCCAGCATGCAGATATATCAAAATTTATTTTAAGGAATTTTCAATTTCTTTACTCTTAAAAATAATATTGTATTGAGAAGCTTTTTCATACATCCTGTGCATATCTCTGATGGTTTCTCTCTTAGAATTGGAATTATGGAGCAAAACCTTTTTTTTTCCCTTTTTTCTCTAGAATTTACACCCTTGTCTAGACAAGTTTTCATGACTCGAAATTAGAAGGAAGTGTTTTGGACAGATACACTTTGCATTGGATTCCCAAAGGCTGCAGATCTTTCGCAAAAGCAATCAATTATCATGAAAATACTTCTATTTAGAAAACACATCTTAAATATGTGGCTCACACCTAACAGCATATGTTCAAAATGTAGCAAACAAAGCCGACTGGACAAACTCACAAGTTCATTCCCTATATCACACCCCATAGCAACACACGTGTGCTAAACAGGATATGAGCACGGACTGTCACCACAACACAATGTGCAGCCCGAAACAACTGGAAACATCCCTAATGTCCATCAGTATAGAAACGGCTAAATAAACTAAGATACAGTCAGAATACTGTGCAGCAGTTCAGAATGCACTCCATCTTCTGAAATAAAAACAAGAGCTATCCAAGATGTGTTAGGACACTAGAAAAAAGTAGAAAAAGTAATTGCAATATTTTAAAAAATGTGTCTACTTTTTAAAAAATACTCAAAGCAATTCGATTTTCAGTGGTTACAGATACATACATAAAAGCAGAAAATAAAAAGGTAACGGGGTTCTGGGAAGAGACATAGCAAATTCAAAAATTTCTTCTGGGGAATGAAGGAGAAAACTAGAACTTGGGGGCAAAGGAGTGAAGAAAGAATAGCCCTTTTCCTATAATATGGTAAGAAGAATGTATGCAGATATTCTCAGGTAGATGAAACTACTGTTAAAATACTTAAATGTGGGGACGCCTGGGTGGCTCAGTTGGTTAAGCAGCTGCCTTCGGCTCAGGTCATGATCCCAGCGTCCTGGGATCGAGTTCCGCATCGGGCTCCTTGCTCGGCAGGGAGCCTGCTTCTCCCTCTGCCTCTGCCTGCCACTCTATCTGCCTGTGCTTGCTCGCTCTCTCTCTCTCTCTGACAAATAAATAAACAAAATCTTTAAAAAAAAAATACTTAAATGTGTTCTTGGGTTTGAAGTTGTGTAAGAGAGTAAGTGAAGGAGGAACAGGAAATGACAATCTTGGAACAGGAAATGACATACCAAGGGCATATTAACCAGGAAGGAGACCAGATCAGAGGAGGAAGCAACACAACCACAATTGTGTTTTGTTTTGTTTTTCAAGTAGGCTCCACACCCAGCGCCCAGCTTGTAGCCCAGTGCAGACTTGAACTCACGATCTTGAGATCAAGACCTCAGCTGACATCAAGAGTCGGTAGCTTACTGTGGGTTGCTGAGGGGTGGGGGGTTATCAATAGGGTGGCTGAGTGTTGGACACTGGGGAGAGCACGTGCTATAGTGAGTGCTGTGAAGTGTGTAAGCTGATGATCCACAGACCTGTACCTCTGGAGCAAATAATACATTATATGTTAATAAAAAAAATAAGTAAAAACTGAAAAAATAAAAATAAATTTGCAATTAAAAACATTCCCACAGAGAAAACTGTAGCCCTCCACAGCTTCATTGATGATTTCCATTACATATTCAAGGAAGAAAAAAAAGGGGGTCAGTAGCTTAACCAACTGAGCCCCTCAGGCACCCCTACATTTGTGTTCTTAAAAGAAAAGAAAGTATTAGAAGAACTTAAACTTTAAAAAAGAACTTAAGAAAACTCAGAGAACGTATTTGCCCCCAAAATAGCAGGAAACTTCCACATACCTTTTTCAGAAAATAGAAAATCTAGTAGACTAAGTAGGAGACTCATAGATCGAAGTGACCCAGGTGAAAACTCTAACCATATTTCCTCCCAGTAGCAAATACATGTCCTTTCAAACACATACCAAATAGTCACCAAAATTGTCCACAAAGAAAATCTTAGTATGAGATTTCCAAAGAACACAAATAGTACAGTCCATTGTCTCTTTTAGAAGGTTAACAGTGAAATTAGAAAGTAGCATGTTGATTAGAAGTTAACAATGAGGGGCGCCTGGGTGGCTCAGTGGGTTAAGCCGCTGCCTTCGGCTCAGGTCGTGGTCTCAGAGTCCTGGGATCGAGCCCCGCATTGGGCTCTCTGCTCAGCAGGGAGCCTGCTTCCTCCTCTCTCTCTCTGCCTGCCTCTCTGCCTGCTTGTGATCTCTCTCTGTCAAATAAATAGATAAAAAATCTTAAAAAAAAAAAGTTAACAATGAAAAATAGCCAAAGTGAACCCACCTA